CGTGGTTGTGGATGCCTGTAATCTCAGTGCACATATACTCAGGAGACAGAAGCAGGAGGATTAGATGTTCGTGGTCATCCTGGCTACACAGGAAGCTGGAGGCCAGGCTGGGCTCCATAAGACCCTGTCTCAAAAGTAAAAAGAATAGAGAGATACATCAATTTAAATGTAAAGTTTTAGACAGGACCAGTCATTTGATTATAAAATTCTGGCAGTAATTGTAGGAAGTATAGTTGCTTCCATTCAAAGGGTCATTTGAATGGAAGCATTTGAGGAGGGAATGAAAATACAGATTGGTGTCATTACCAATCATAACTGGCAGCAGGATTTCCAAAATAATCCTCCTGAGGCATAGGTCACTGGCATCTCCTCAGCCCAGTGCCTCCAAAAGGCTCCCAGTGACACAAGGGAAGGCCAACCCGCTGGCTGGCATCCAAGACTCCCCCTGTTCTTTCCTTTCCAGCCTTCCTCTCACTTTACTTCCTCTGTCTTGGGCATCCTGTACTGCTGTACCATACAAAGTACAGTGTCCTGACCATCTTCTAGGAATCTTCTAGGCCGTTGCTTTTGCTATTGCCCCTGTCCAGTTGCCTTAAATTCCATTTCCATCATAAACCTGATTGATCTTTCCATCTCATTCTTGGAAAGATTTTTCCATCTATCATGTTCCCATATCATTCTCTTTGTCTTCCATCATAGCGCTATTTGTTTACATTAATGTATTTTGTCATCATTGTGACCAAATACCCAACAAGAAGCAACTTAAGGGAGATAGGAGATATTTTGGCTCAAGGTTTGAGGAGGTGCCATTCATCACAGTGGAAGGCACGAAGGCTCGGTGGTGGTAGGAAGATGAAGCCAGAGCTTTGCACCTCCTCACATCCTGACAGAACAGGAAGCAGAGAACAGGCTGGAAGCAGGAATGGATTGTAAACCTCAGTTCCCTCCCTCCCTCCCCATCCAGTGACCCACTTCCTCCCATGAGGCCCTGCCTCCTAACGGTTCTATAACCTGTCAGAGCAATGCCACCAGGTGGGAACAGAGTTCAAACACAGGAGGCTGTGGGGGACATTTCACTTTCAATCCATAACAATTCAGATTAGTTGTTTATCTCCTTAACCAAGTCATAAGCATCAAGAGCCTTGATTTACCTACTTTTGCAGGCTTTGCCATGCCTAGAACAATACTTCAAATTTTTGTGTTTAACCAAATTCATTTAAGCTTTATTTGTATTTGATGGGTATAAGTATTTTGCCTACATGTATGTAAGTGTGCCAGATGTGTACATTGCCTGCAGAAGCTAGAGGAGGGCATCAGATCCCAGAAACTGGAGCTATGGATGGTTGTTAGCTGCCATATTGGTACTGGAACCCAACCTGAGCCTTCTGCAAGACCAGCCAGTGCTCTTAACCACTGAGCCAGCTCTCCAGCCCCTATTAACTGAATTGTTTGTGAGCAGTCTCCAAATGCTTATGTTCTTTGATTAAGGAGCACTTGCTGAGTACTGAGACTCCCCAGGCCCTGTCAGTCACAGACCAAGTATCTTGATCCATTTGTTCGAGTTCAGATGCTCCCATACTTTGTACTGTTTGGGATGGGCTAAACACAGAAATAAGATGAATGGCTAGTTGTTTCGATTTTCATAAAATCCTAAGAGTGTAGAGATTTAAAGTCCATTATAGGACAAAATTCCTCATGTTAACAAACAGAACATTTTTTCCTTTGTTTTATTTTATTTGGGGTGGAGGCTCACTATGTTGGTCAGATTGACCTTTAACTCATGATCTTTGCATCTGCCTCTGCTTCTAAGTGCTGGGATTATTATAAGTAGGTGTCACCATTGACTGAGAGGAAAGAATTTTCAGTCAAGCTGTAAAAGGGCTTTTCTAGAGCTTCATGGTTCTCTGCAACCCTGGGTGTATAGACCCAGCTGACAAGGTCTTTGGGGTCCTGTCTGTGGAGCCTTCTAAGAGGTGACTTTGGATTCCACTTGAGGCACTCCCAATCTGCTCCTATATGTGGGTTGTCTCGCTTCCCCTATGTGAATACTGTCATCCAACAATAACAGTCAACTCTTTGCTAAAGGCTGGTATCATTGGGTTAAAATTAAAAACAAAAGTGAACTGAAAAGTGAGCTGAGGAGAACAGCTAACAGTTCATTAGCCATCACCTCGTGGAGGACAGGGCAGCTGCTGAATTCAGTCAAGTTCAGACCCTTAAAAAGAGTGGAAAAAAGAAAGCACATACTTTCCAGTGCCTGGGCACTGCTGTGTTGGCCAGCTGGGCACAGTGCCGTGGCGAAAAGAGCTCTGCCGTTCAGAAATCTGAGACCCCGACCTTGCAAACAGGGAGAAGCATGTGGCTGCAACTGGGGTTGATTGTGGTGTTTGATTTGTTTCTGGGCTCATGTCTGCCCACGGTTACATCAGACACCACTCTTGTGAAATCCTGTGAGGCTCAAAGAGTCAGGCCTCAAATGGACCAAAGGAATGAGTTGTTTCAGGAAAGGGGTGTCTCTCTGTGTGTGCATGTATCTGCAGCTGATGGGCTTTTAAGGGGAAAAAATTCTGCTGGGTGTGGTGGCATATGCCTTTAATCCCAGCCCTAGGGAGGCAGAGAGAGCTCTGTGAGTTCAAGGCCAGCCTAGTTTTACATAGCAAGTTCCAGGCCAACTGGAGCTACAGGGAGACCCTGTCTCAAGGGGGAAAAAAAAAGAGGAAGGAATTCTTGGTTTCTGTGCAAATGTGGGCTTCCTGTTGCCCAGAGTTAGCCTGTTCAGGGAATAAAGCACAATTCAGGTTTCTGAGTTAGAAGCCTGATTAATCTCCCTGCCAGTTACATATGGAAATAAATTAGTAAATGGTCCATCTGGGACTAAACTACTGCAGAGATGATAAATTATCACCATCGTATATGTTGGTCTTGCTGAAGACTGAGCTGTGCTCACAGGAGGTTCTAAAAGACAACTAGATGCTCTGTTGTGGTCAGAGGGATAAAATTTGATGAAAAAAATATTCAGAGTTGAAAATGTACCTTGAAATGTTTTCTTGGGCAAGTGGATTGGTTGATGCCAGGTTCTTCCCTGGAACTGCCTGCATCTGCATATATTTAAGAAGGGTCTCCAGGGACTAAGGGAGATTTTTAGATTTATATTTTCAAAGGCCAGTACAATAACAAGTGTAATTAATACCCAAGGTTGTAATAAGGAGCACAATTCTGTATCTCTATGTAGGATTGTGTGTTATAATTTTACAGCAACTTTGTATCTATTTTAGCTAAATTTCAATAGAGGTGGAACAAGTCATGTCTCATTTTCTAATTTTCTTTCTTGTTTTTGTTGTTGTTGTTTGTTTTGTCCTTTTTTTTTTTTCTTTAATCTTTTTTTTTTTTTTTTGAGACGGGGCTCCCTATGGCCCCAGCTGGCCTGGAACTCACTATGTAGACCAGGCTGGATTTGAACTCACAGAGATCTGCCTGCCTCTGCCTCCCAAGTTCTGGGACTGCAGGCATGCGCCACCAGGCCCGGCCCCATTGTAATCTTAAGGCTCGTTATTCTTGTCATTTTCTTAATGATCAGGCTTTACCAATCATTCCAACCCCAACAAGAAACAAATATCTCCTCCAGAGCCCTCTGAGCAATGGAAATAAGACTGGGTGTTTCGCTGTTTGTGTTGAACCCTGGCTTCCAGGGTGGACAATGCATTTCTAAGTGTTGAACTTCCTTTCCTTCTGTCTTCCTTTCCTCAATCGCAGCTCAACACTCTGCCTTTAATTACATTTTAAAATATTTTATTTATATATTTTATGTTTATGAGTGTTTTTTGTCTGCATGTATGGAAGTGCATCTATGTTGTGCAGTGCCCAAGGAGGTCAGAAGAGGGCATCAAATTCCCCTGAAACTGGAGTTACAGATGGTTGTCAGGCGCCATGTGGGTGCTAGAAATTGAACCCAGGTCCCCTGAAAGAACAGTCAGTGCTCTCACCTGCTGAGCCATCTATCCAGCCTCTTTAATTAGATTTTAAACATGAAATAGAGTAGGGTAGTTTTAGTTTACAAGAAGATAAAGCCTTTGTATGAGTGGATGAATGAATGATCTAAGACAGAGCTCCTGTAAAAACACTGATTTCTGCCCCAGTCCCAATAGTCTGTTTCTGCAGAACCTGGATTAAAGCCAAGAATGTGTGGTTCTTAGTAAGGTCTCAGGTTTGAGAACCCACTTGGAGAACTATTGTTTGAGACCTCAGTTTGAGAACCACTGCTCTGATGACCATTTCCTAATGGCCCACACTGACTCCACAGGATACCACCATTCTTCTCATTAGAGAATTTATTGATTTGTCATTCTTGAGGCCAGAGATGCAAAATATATAATATATGCACATATATATTATATTTATAATCTTCCATCAGAAATTATTTTGCAGTCTAGCTCACGTACCAGCATTTTTTCCAGTGTTATTGATCGACAGTGGCCCAATAACTTGCAGTGCATTAAGTGAGCTTGTCCCTAGGACTCAAACTGGAGTGATTTCATTTTACAACAGAAGAGTCATTGACTTTGCAGCCTGTGCACTTGGTCTACCCAATGGATCAAGACTGCCAATGGGGTGGAATGCTGGCCTTCAGCACTCCATAGCCTCTGATAGGTTTCCTTTAGGTAGACAGGTGTTAGGTGTTTCCGGAGCAACTATAGTAAAAAATAAAATGATTTCAGAATGTCTGTGTGGTGGTCCTAGTAAAATTTAATCATCTTACAGTGTCTATGGCATGTGTTTCCAAACTTCTGGGCCCTCTTTTCCCCCATGAAGCAGTTTTAAAAACACTCCACTCTGAAGGCCTCAGTCTTTCAATAACTATCCAGGAACTAAGAGGCACGATGAGAATTGGCTTTCCCACTGAAGCATGTCATTTTCTAGGGTCGGGCCGGAGGGGTCATGCACTGTGGCTGTGAGCACTCTCTGCTTCTATACTCTAATCCTGTCTTCTTTCTCCACTCCAGCAGCCTCTAGAAGTGTCATCTAGTGATTATGGAGGCGCCTTTGTCCTTTCCTTGACGGGAGCTGGAGCAATGCTGACCTCCATTTCCTGGACCCATTCTGACTCAGGTAATCATACTCTCTGGCCTTTCCCTAGTCACTATACCTCAGATTACATTGAATCAATGAAATACCAAAGCTATATTTAAATGCAAATGCCAAGTTGATTATTTCTCCCTCCTTTGCTCTCTCCCCCTCCCCCAGTCTTCTTAATGATCAGTTCATGTAGCTGATCAGACTGACAGTATGGTCAATCCAATTTAGGCATTAAGATGATTGAAAAACCTTGATTCTCATCTTTATTTAAAATTCTGGTGGATGTCTGAGATACATAGAGACACCTGAACATTGCTAGGAATTTTCCTGTGAAGCCTAGTGCCTACCATAGTGTCTCAAAATGATCTTCTTTCCCAGAATGTTGTGCATAATTGTATTCATCTTTCTAATGTTGTACCAGTTGGTTGTGTTCAGAGGATATTATTGAGTATCTGTTTGTGTACTTGGGACAGATGGGGGTGAAGAAGTAGGAGGCTGTTTTCTATCCTCAGGGAGCTCCCAGTAGTGCCAGATTCACAACTTGGTCATGAGAAAATGACAGGTGGTGGGGCTCATTTGAGGGGAGGTTCTGGGCACTAAGTATAGCCCTCTGCCTCAGGGAATTGACAGACTTCCAGGCTTGAGGTTGAAATAATTAGCAAAGAATTCATGAACCTAGAAGTGACTCAGGTGGCTTTGTCTCTGAGGATTGATTGGGCAGGCAGAGGGAGGAAGTGACATGGCACCCAAATAGAAAGCCAGGACTGAGCCCTTGGTGAGTCCACTAGTGGGGACCTGGCTCTTATCCAGTATTTAGAGGGCCCTGATCCTCCAAACCAAAGTCAGACTTCTCAATCGCCTGGGCCACTTAAGGTCCTGGAGAAAAAAACAAAACGAAACAAAACAAAAACCTTGCCCTGTGACAGTGGAGCCTCGCCTGGGAGCATCTTTCTGGGGACAGTTGTCCACTGTTGTCCAGCCTTGGCATGATGATTGCCTTGCTGGTCTTTTCTGCTTGTCTGAGCCTGTCCATACCCTGCCTCTGCCTGTCTACCCAGATTATTTACTCTTCTTTTGCAAACTTTCCTGCCCCTTCTCTAAGTGATGCCTGATGCCCATGACTTGACAAGGCCCTGGATAAACCAGACACCATGTGAGGTCAGCATCTGACCTTCACAGATGCCAGTTTGATCTAGGAAGTGAAGTTGAAAAGTAGGAAGTAGAAACCAAAAACATGAATTTATAAGCTGATGTGGAGGGTGTCTCCAGAGAGTTTCAAAAGCCTGAATTCAGGGACAAGCTCAAGGACAAAATGGGGGCTACAGCCAAAGATGGGGAGCCAGATGCCTGGAGTAATTTGAGGGTGGTGCAGCAAATTCTGCCCATACCTGGCCTTTTTCCAGTGCTGCACTTTATCAAGTAGGATAAAGCTGTGGCAGCGTTCATTGTCCTGAGTCTTAAAGGTACCACTGAGAGCTGCCAGCCCAGGCTCCTGCTCTTCTGTAGGGGTGCCCTGGCCACATTGCACCTGCTGGAACATGCTGTGGTGCACAAGAACCCAGCTGATAGAGGAACATTGGCCTCCCAGAATCACAGCCCTAGTCCTCAGCCAGCAGGACAAATAGTGGTTTGTAGGAGGCGGGGGTCTCCTTCCACTGAACTGATTGCCTAGCAGAAGTGATCCTCCCCTCCAAATGAAGGCCAGGGCCCAATAACCTGTATTTAGCCATGAACCAAAGACAGCCTGGTGCCTGGAAATGCAGAGTAGGCAAGCTATTTTTTTTTTTTTTTTGGTTTTTTTGGAACAGGGGCTCCCTTTACTTC